GGCGGCAGACCCACTGGGTGAAGTGGGACTCCATCTGTCGTCCCCACTCTGAGGGTGGGCTCGGGATTCGGCGTTTCTCTGATATGGTTACTGCGTTTTCCTACAGGATGTGGTGGCGCCTTAGGAAGGGCAAGTCCCTTTGGGCCCAATACCTCTTGAGGAAATATTGCCCTGGTGGTGCTGCTCACCCCTGCAGGGTGATAGCCACCGCTCGGGATAGTCGACAGTGGAGACGTCTTACCATTGTTGGCAGGCGTGCTCAAGAGCACATTTTTTGGACCTTGGGTTCTGGGGAGGTTAGCTTCTGGGATGAGTGGTGGTTCGGCGAGGCCCCTCTCTCGAGTACTAGGCCCGTCACTCACCTGCCTTTCATGCAGGTGAAGGACCTTTGGACGGGAGGGCTTTGGGATAGAGATAGGATGGAGGATATTCTTGGTGAGGGTGGGGGTTTTAGTAGTCTAGAGATTGACCAGATCCGACAGATTCCCATTATGGAGGGAGGTTTGGATGGCATGAGGTGGAGACTTACATCTTCGGGTGCATTCTCTACGTCCTCAGCCTGGGGAGAGGTGAGGCTGGGCAACCGGCCAAACCGCCTCTTCGGGGCCATATGGACTGACCTTCTCACCCCGGCCATTTCCGTCTTTTTGTGGCGTCTCCTATTACGGCGGATTCCCATTGACACTGTGATGCAGGCGAGAGGGTTCTCTTTCCCCTCCCGCTGCCATTGTTGTGCTGAGACCGGTACCTTTGAGATCGAGACTTTCGCCCACCTTTTCCTTGAGAGTGAGACTGTGAGGAGAGTGTGAGAGCACTATGCCAGATATACTCATATACCCCTACCCACTACAGACAGTTTTTTTGAGCTCTTGAGTTTCTTCTTACACCGCACACACAGTAGACACGTGGGCTTCCTTATTCCTTGTCTGATCCTATGGGCCACCTGGACAGATAGGAATAATGCGAAGCATAGAGATATTATATTTTCTTGTGCTCACATTATTTTGCAGGTTGACAGACACCTCTCTCTCCTCACCGCCCTGGGCAGACTCACGACGAGAGACTGAACAGGGTGTACTCCGCCCCATCGGTTGAGGCCACCTCCTCCTTTACCTGTCCAGCATCCACGACCCAGGACCGTTGTTTGGCTGAAACCCAAGGCCCCTTGGGTTAAGCTAAACACTGATGGCGCTTTCGACAGACATACCGGAGCTGCTGGAGGAGGAGGCCTGATTAGGGATCATGGTGGTGCACTCATCTCTGCTTTCCATGGGCCACTCCGGGCCTCCTCGAGTTATGATGCAGAGATTCAGGCTCCAGATTGGCCTCGAGATTGCCGCCTCGATCTTTTCTCATGTCTGGATTGAGATGGATGTTGCGGCCGTCATCACACTTTTGACATCTGGCCACCAGGGCTCATGGCAGATCCAGCACCCTCTTATGCGTATCAGAGACACCCTCCGCTCGGTCCATTACCAGGTCTCACACATATTCCGGGAGGGGAATCGGCCTGCTGATTTCCTTGCTAGCACGGGGGCTTCTATACCCCAGAGACGCACCCTTCTTCCTGAGGACATCTCCCTCCGGCTTCGGACGCTCATTCGGATGGACCAGTTAGAGTACCCATCCTTCAGATTCAGTCGGCCGCCACCTGCCCCTGACTAGTTTTGACATTTTGGTCCTCATGACAGGCCACCCTGCCCAAGCCGACCTTTCATGAGGTTTTGATTTTAGATCCACATCCGATTGTTATTGTGATCCTTGGGTTTTATGTTTTAAAAAAAAAAAATAGAAGATTTCATTAAATTTAATTAGAATGCGGATATCAAGGAATTTTATTTCATGAATTATGTTTGATATTTAGTTAATATGAGAAAAAAACTGCTGAGTTTTTTACTTTTTTTTTTTGCATGATTTATGTGAATGATTAATTTTATGTTATGAATGCAATATGTTATTTGATAATGCATTAATTGATTAATGACTGGAATGAAAAATTCCCTAATGCATTATCTTTGCTTTTTATTAAATTTATTGACTTGGATTCTTGAATTCGGTAAGTTTTGTAAAAAGATATGTTTTTGAATTGGAGGTTAGGTGTTGTTGCATGAATGCTGGACATATTAGGTTTGGATTAGTTGTTTTGTTTTTAAAATCATGATTAATTGTTGCACGTTTATTGGGCTTTTGATATGGTTATATTAGAGGATAAAATTAGTTTTATTATCCATAGTTGATTTTTTATTAAAATAATTGAATCTGCATTTAGTTGGTTCATTTGAGAAACAAATACAATATGCCAATTATCTTGATATTTTTTTTGCCATCATTTTCTTATTTTCAGCCTTATTTGTTGTTTAATTTTAATAGGTATAAAATGTGCAATAATCATGGGATATTAAAGTCTGAAAAATAAATTCTAAAAAATATTTTTTTCTTTGACTGCCACAAAGAATTGGTCTTTATTGAATATTAACAGTTACGAAATGTGCACAATAATGGGATGTTGAAATTTGAACAACTGTATCTTAAATATTATATTTTTTTAATTTTTGTTCAATTTGATAACTATAAATAATTCATTTGGTGATATATTATATGTTGATCATTAAAATGTTTTTTTTTTTGCAGGACCAATTCACACTTTTAAGGAAAAGGAGCTTGTGCAATACTTATTATTTTAATTTGTTTTTATATTGTGTTGTATTTTCTGATATTTATTCACTTTTTGTTTTTCTTTAATATTTATTAATTAACGATAAAAAAATGAGTATATAAAAAAATGAGTATATAAAATCGTTTTTAGTGTAAATATATTATTGATAATTGTAGCAACTAATCTATATTGTAAAAATAAATCTGGGATAGTTTTCAATATGTAACGATAGAATAATGAAGTAAGTCAATGATACTTATTGTCAATTTTAGCAGTCAAAAACTGATATGTTTTCACATTAGAAAAAAAAAGAAAATAATTGAATAGTAACAGATTTTGGCGGGAAATGACAGCTAGGTATAATTTAATAAGTTTTCTTAAATGCTTATCAGCCAGTAATTATATATATATACAGATTTTAATCATGCAACATTTATATTAGTAACATGAATAAAATAATTTATATATTTGTGACATATATTAAGAAAATTAATATAAATAAAAAAAATTATTGATGTTTCTAATTTTTAGAAAAAAAAAATATGTGTCAATCATATTTTTCTTCCAACAATGCAACCAAATATAGCGGTTACAGATTTAAATGTACCAATCAACTTTAAGTTCCAACATTAGCTATTACACATTTTAATATTTTGCTATCAAATTCAGAATTAATTTAGTAACTGGTCTAAAATATAAATAATAAAAATATATATATTAAAGTGTAACGGTTTTAGCAGATTAGTGAGTAATTAATTAAAAAAAAATATAACTCCTTTTGGAGGGAAATAAAAATAGGTTTATTAAATGTTTTATTAAATGCATCAGCTAGTAATTATAGATATATAGATTTTTTTTTTAAATATTTGCTTTTCATAAAAACATTCGAACAAACTTAAGGACAAATTTATAAAATATTAGTTGCGAGCATCCACAATGTTTTAGGTTTATTCACAAAAATATACATGCCACGTAAGAAATAGACCTAGTAAAGAAAAATATGTACTCCAATGCAAGTACAAGCGGACTGGGTCCTGCTTATGTGGCAGCAAGAAAAAGAGATCCGGTCTAGCCTTAAGTCTATTTAGACTCAAGTAGAGACCTAGTCTCTTTGCATTGGAGTTAAATTTGTTACTTTTTTATATTTTTGTCCATGTCATTCAAGATTTAAGTCTATTTACTTGCCACATAAACACAATTAGACCCAAAACATTGTAGATGCTCTTAGAGCACCCACAATTCTTTGGGTCTTTTAAAGAAAAAATCAAGTTAGAAATATTCCCCTACCCACGGTGGGCACATGTTAATATGCCCACGCGTAGGTGGCATACACTCATTGGTGATTTATTTTTTCAAACATATTAACATCACCAATTAGTGCATGCCACCTATGCGGTGGATATATTAACATGTGCCCACCGTGGGTAGGGGATCATTTCTCAAAATCAAGTGCCATATAGGAAATAGACTAAGTCTATAAAAAGATGTTACTCCAATGCAATAAAAAGTAGACTTGGTCTAGCTTATGTAACACTAGAAAAAAGAGATCAAATCCACCATTGAGTCTATTTTGAACCCAAGTACAAACCTGCCTAGTCATCAATTGTTCACAATTTTCTTTTTTTTTTTAATAGGCAAAACATATTCTTTTGTATGCATTTATTATTATGATATTTTTATTGGTTGTTGGGTATACTAGATCTAGTATTTTTTTTTGCATTGGATAGATTTTTGATTTTTTAGCTTGAGTTTGTCCATATCTTTATGGACTTAAGTCTATTTATTTGCCACATATGCAAAAAGAGACCCAAAGCATAGTGGATGCTCTATGCAGGTTTGTACTTGAGTTCAAAATAGACCCAAGGGTGAGCTTGGTCTCTTTTTTCTAGTGCCATATAAGCTAGACCTAGTTTACTTTTTACTTCATTGGAGTACATCTTTTTATAGACTTAGTATATTTCCTATATGATACTTGATTTTTCTTTAAGAGACCCAAAACATTGTGGGTGCTCTTAGAGAAGGGCGACTGATGACTTTTAAAGAAGATGAGTCTAATCTTTTTACTTAGTAATGCTTTTTAAATTCATAGTTATTAATTATATTTAATATTTAATTAAAAAATTCAACTAACTAAAATTTTAACAATAATAGAAAATTAACTGAATATATCAAAATTCATTTAACACAAATCAAAACATTTTACCTATAGCCATCTTCAAAATGAGTCGTGACACTTGCTATATAGGCTATAACACTACAGTACTTCACAATTCACATATCCGCTGGCGCGCAGTTGATAAACCAGAGTTTGCTCTGACGTTGCTCCACCGTCTTGAGAAGTGAAATGGAAGACGACGCCGGAGATAAATCAAGCTTCATAGTCGGATTAATCGAGAACCGCGCTAAAGAGGTACCATCGCCCCCCTTTCCTCTGTACATCTTTACCGCCACACGCGCAGAACTTATGCAATATATAGCGACGCCATTGAAGCATATTTGAGATTCGTTGCGCAAGTTTTGTCGTTTTTCCTTATGTTCTCTGTGGCCGTTTGCGGTTACGCGTGTTCGAGGCATTTGATCTTCTGTGCGTGTGCTCGTGAGTGTATTCGTTTTCTGTGAGTTATTTCACTGGAGCTTGTGTATGCGGGTGGGATTCGTAGTTGTGTTCTTCTTTCAGAGGCATATAAATCTCCTCTGAATGAAAACAATTACAGTCTTCATGATTGCATCTGTATGATTAGTCTGCGATAGCTTCAGTAATGTTATTATTGCTACAGGAGTACAATTAATATGTGTTACTGCATTTGTCTGATGTTTGTTGATTTGTGCGTGGTCCATCGATAAAGCAATTTGTGTCGGATCGGAAAGTGTATTTGTTTCGGGGTAAGTTCATAGAATGTGACCTTACGTTTTAAGTACGAGAATTTGCGTTTTGTGAGAATTACAAGTGATGACTCTGGAGTTCATACGAAATCTGCTACTTGTGCAATCATTTGGAAGTTCTTATCCTGATTTATGCAGATGATAAGATTTAGAACAATTTTTATTTTCTATGTGATTGGCCCATGTTAGTTATACTGAAGGTGCCCAGGGAGGCTGGGACATATACTTGACAGATTCTATATTTTGTTCTTTCACAGCCATTCGATATCGACATCTTAATTACTGTAACTTGATTTGTGAATGATTGATAGCAAGTCTATAATACATATTTGGAGGTTAATGAAGTTTTGTTTTGCATGTATATACAATGTTGCAGTTGGTTCATTGTTATAATACGTATATAACTTTCAGGTTGGAGTGGCTGCATTTGACTTGAGATCGGCTTCATTTGACCTTTCTCAGTATATTGAGACCAGCAGCTCCTACCAGAACACGAAAACGTTACTGAATTTTTATGAACCTACAGTAATTATAGTTACTCCTACTAAGCTGGCTCCTGATGGCATGGTCGGTGTCTCTGAATTGGTCAACAGATTTTGTCCATCGACCGCAAAGGTGATATATGTGCGGATTCAAATTTTATGTTTCTCATTGCCTCAGTTGATCATTAAATAAGGTCCCCTTCAACCATAATCTGCAGGTTATTATGGCTCGTGGTTGTTTTGATGACACCAGGGTAAGGCATGTATGGATAAATCTTTTTTTCTTATGGTTTGAGTTGAATTATAACGTTAGTTGTTGGATTTGTTTGAAAAGGGAGCTGTGCTAGTAAAGAATTTAGCTGCCAAGGAACCATCTGCTCTTGGTTTGGATACTTATTACAAGCAATATTATCTTTGCTTAGCTGCTGCGGCTGCAACCATCAAATGGTAGTTCTTCAGTCTGTAACTTCCCTGAATTTAAAAAGTAGAGTTATAGTTCACCTGATCTAGAAACATATAATGTTATAAACCACAAATATAATGAAGTCACTCAAAAAAATGAGGTATGAACTGCTGTCATATGCAACAAATGCTATCATTTTCTCTGAAGTTAGTCCTTGCAACATGAATTCACACTTAGCAGTTCATTTTATATTTTCAACATTTACCAGTTACATGTTAATTAAGATTTACTGCATAGACATCAGGGCTAAATTGAATTGAATATTGAATTTTTTAACTGGTAACAACAAAGTGAATTTATGGAGCTTGTCACATGTTATAATTCCAACGATGAGCTTCCATATCCTTTCTCCTTGTTAATTTCTTGGGTAGAATGTTTAAGAAATGGTTAGAGAAAAGTTCTTGAGACCCTTTTAATCCTATCTCACCTTTTGTTAAATCAGTATATTTCAATTCCTTGCGTTATTATTTCAATCACATTAACCTTTGGGTGCACTGAGATTTTTGAGGTATAAATAGCCATGGTGGCCTCTTCATTTTTTCCACACTAAATTGCATGTGAAATTTCTTTGTTATTTCTAGTGAATTTATTTATACTGGCGGAAAGAGACGTAAATTGATAGTGTCGGCCACAAGCTGTGTTCTATGTCTTACTCAGACTTAATTGATTTTCAGATATAAGCATCAGCAAGCCTCTTTCAACAACATTTTCTATAACCAATAATCATAAAACTGGTCATTTTACCTGCTTTTGCGACCCTAGTGGTCATTGAAGTTTAAAACCATCTACCTAGATTTTTTATATAAATTTTGTTCTGCATGTTGAACAGGATAGAAGCAGAGAAAGGGGTGATCATCACTAACCACTCTTTATCTGTAAGTTCTTGTCCTTGAATATAATTTCATATTATTCTGTAGGAAATAGAAGCATTTAAGCTTGCAAAGCATACAATTACTCTATGATTGATTTCAGATATATGTTTACACTTTGTTTTAAGACAAAACCCAAAAGATAGTCATAGACAGACTTATTGTAAAAGTTTCTGAACCAAACTATTTCAACTGTGGTTCCACAAGTGTCCAGATAATATGAGGTTACAAAAGTTGGTTGAGAAAAATGTTCAGCATCAGGTTAAACATTCTAAGAGAACTATTTTCTCCTTGGTCACATGGCTTCTCTGATTCACAAGATGAAATTATGTGACTCTCACGGTTTATAAGTTGGTCAAAATGAAAAGTAAGTTTCATATATGAGCTGAAGTTTCTGCTGAATGATCTCACTTAGGTTACGAGATCTTTGTTGTCATATATGGAACTCTTTGAGACTAAAGAACCCAATATCTCAGAGGATTGTAACTTCTAAAATGAGTACACTTGTAAACAAATAATGATATTACGATGTCCTATTGCTATTTTTCAAGAAATTCCTCCAACAAAATGAATGACTACTGATTGGCTTGTCATTTCATCAGTTTAGCAGTTAGCTTGATGTTCATTCTCATACATTAGGCTGCAAGTAGGTTCTTCTATGCAGTTCAGAATAATGGGACAATTTTCTGTCCCATACTCATACTTAATTCATTTGGCAGGGTTTAGTGTAATATCGTTGGAATGGACATATTGTTATGGCAATACAGTGTATCATAATTTTTTTCTTGGTTCTCAAATATGTAGTTCTCTTTTCTCTAGATTGGAAATTCCTGCAGTATGGGCCTGGTCTTAGAGTTAGAAAAGGCTGCATTTGAGTGTAACTTGACCCTATGAAGAGGGTTCATAGGGCATTTGGAGTATTCATTTTCCAATGAATTACAGATTTCGTACAACAAGGATAGTGCTGCCCTCTTGCTGCTCTTAACAGTAAATTTACACTTCCAAATGAAATCATTTGCTTTCTGCAGTATAAGAAAATGGTCTAGTGTCTTGTGATCCTGTAAACTACTTATGCTATCTTTATTTCTTTTTGATTTGTTTCACATTTGTCTTTGTTGTGTTCTGATTGTATTATTATAACAAATGCCTTTTGTTTTGAAACTTTTATCTCTTTCAGGTTACTTTTAATGGATCATTTGATCACATGAATATAGATGCTACTAGGTATCCTTCTACTTGAAAATAATGCAGTGCTGCTCCAACTTTAATATTTCTGTCTTGATGTTTCAGTTTAGAGATCTTAAATTCACCACTCTGATGCAGAACTGTATAACTCAGAAGATATTAGGACATTGATCTGTTAGTTGAATTGCACTTTTTTGTTACCTTATTTAGTCAGTAGAGTTGTATGCATTCTGATGGCAGTGTCCAGAACTTGGAACTAGTTGAGCCGATGCACTCTAGTCTTTGGGGAACTAACAACAAAAAGAGAAGTCTGTTTCACATGCTCAAGACAACACGGACTGTAGGAGGGTATGTTTATTTCATGAGTGATGTCATAAACTTGTTCTGTATATAACTGCCAAATTAGGTTTTGCCATAATTTCTAATTATTCATGGTTAGCAGCCGCATTTTCCACTGACCTATGTTCGTAGATGAACTGATATTGTTTATGCTTGATTGGAAGAGTTTCTGCTCTCAGCTTGTTGATGTTTTGTGTGTTTCAAATGTACTAGTGCGAGATGCAAATTAATCTTAATGAAAAAAAAAAAAAAAAAAAAACTCGTCATTCATAACACAAACCAACCACTTGGATACTGCTCAGCTAGTGGTAATGAGGCATGACTTTTACGCAGCCACAAACTGCTCAGCAATATTATAAAGAAAATTGGCGTATAAATCCTTCTACCCTCCAGTTGACTGGTGCAAGTGATTGTAGAATCATATGGGCTATAAATTGATCATTAGTGATGTAAGACAGCCTCGCCTGAGTTTTGTAAAGCTTGTTCTCCTGTGTGTAATGGTTATCATCTCTGCAGAAATTAGAATATGATGCAATGTTTGTTTCCTAACAAGAAATTTAAAATATGTTCTTCACTGCAGGACGAGACTTTTGCGAGCTAACCTCTTGCAGCCACTAAAAGATATCGAGACTATTAATGCCAGACTCGATTGCCTGGTCATTTCGAGTTTAATTCTCCCAAATAAATAGAATATAAGTCTGATTTTTTTTCTCTTTATTTAAGCAATACATAAATATGAACTTCATGCATTATGCATATACAAACCCAGATATATTTTACCTTTCTTATCATAAATTACCATATATGACCTTTCCTTTATTTAAATTACCATATATTACATTTCCATTTCTTATTTACTTCACATATAAGTAATATAAATATGTATTCTTTTTATTTAAAAAATAATAATTTTCTATTTGTATTGCATTTTTCATATATGATACATCAACTTAATCATCTTCTAACCCCTTTTTTTTTTTTTTTTTTTTTTTTTTTTTAATATTCATACTGTATATATACTATAAAAATACTTTCATATGTTTGATATATAAACTATAAATGTATTTATCAAACCATATTGAGAAATATTAAATAAAACTTTAAATTAGTTTATAGAATAGAAAAAATTTGATTAATATACCATAAAACAATCATTAGTGTATTGTTTCTATAGATTTGGAAAAAAATGTAGAAATTAAATATTTACAAATATTAAGAATTATTCACAAAATTACGTCTTGACTTAATTAAAGTATATAGAGCATTCAAATGTTATTATAATGTTGAAAAAAAAAGTATGGATGAATATCATAATTAGAAATAATAATGATGAAGTTAGAAAATGTTACATTCGTGTATAATAACTTATATTTTAATCACAAAACATTATGGGGGTGTTTGTTTATAAATTTTTCGATCCATACTCAATTTATACTCAAAATTAAACCCAACTTTAACTCATCCCCATTATCATCAATATTGTCAATATAATTAAATAATACCAATAAATCATTCTTACAAATCACATCAAATTTAATTTACTCACAAAAAATTAACTAATCATCACTTCACATCATCTATCTTCTGATTTTACATCAAATCAACTTAATTATTTATTTTAAATATTGTTCTAACATAAATTCAAAATCTCACTAATAACTAACCATACTATTTTTTTTCAAAATTAACATTGGTTAATAAAAAACACTCATTTTGAACGGATATATTTGTATCCAAGCACGCCCTATAATTTTAAAATACTTTTCAAGTGATATAAGATAGACCAACTCGAGAAATAAAAAATATAACTACGATACAATAAAGCTTTAAAAAAATGAAAAAAAAAATTAAAATTTATGGTAATTGTAGATAATATTTGTTTAGACACATATAATTTTATAAATGTAATAGAAGTATCATTATTAACAAATAAAGTGTAAAAGGCGGGTTTCATGTTAAACATTATGTTAGTTCTTTGTTATTTATTGTACACTTATTGTTTATAATTTAACAATCGGAATATTGATTATTTTATTTTTTTTGCTGTTAAATTATCATTTTTTTCAAGTATGTGCTGCACGGGTATCGTACTAGTGTTCATTGAAACCAAAATTTAGTTTCAGTAACGTCTGCTACTCTAAGGCTATGTTTGGTAGAACTAGCTGATAAGTTAGCATAAAGCTTATAAGTGATTTTTTTGCTTATACCTTATAACTTGTGACTTATAGTTGAAAAACTAGTTATTTATATAATAAAAGTGTTTGTTAAAATTAAAACTAGCTGAAATAAAAATTTCAACGAACTTATTTAAAAAATTACTCAAAGAAGCTTATGAGATAAGCTCGTGCTTTTTAAAAATGCTCGTCCTAGCAAACGAAGCTTATTTGAATACAGGAAACTTATAAGGTAACCAAATAAGCTATGAGCTAGCTTATTTTGTTACCATACATGACCTAAGCTATCTGATATTTTCTTTACAGCAATACCATAATGCGTTGCTTTGAATTTTCGAGTGAGTGCTGCCTCAGTGGCAAAATATGAAAATTTAGCTCTTTAATAATGTCTCCATGTTTCACCACTCGAGCAAACACTAACATGTGTTGTTCCCTTGCAGTAAGTAGATTTGAGAAGTGTCCTCATATGACTAGGCTTCTCATTCCCAATCATTATTTCCACGACAAGTTGGAATCAAATGTTTATCCATCAAGTAAATCTTGGTCGTATGAATTACGAAAAATGATTAATCATCTCGTAAATAATAAATGTCACTTATTCCCAGGGACACTATTGTAATATATTTTGTGCGACATCATTTATTGCTTAAACTCAAAAATAGGATGAACCTTAAATCCCTTTTGTGGCGGCCAAACTTATTTTTTGAGGCCTTCTTTAAAAGGAAACTATTCATAAAGGGGTGGCTTGATAGTAGTAGATTTTCTTCTGTCATTTTTTCCTTAAATATTTACTCAAGCTCCATATCTGCTGAAGTTACTGTCGTCCAATTAATCAGTCTTAAAAGATAAAAACTATGACTAGTTTGCATACTCTACATTGGTAACACTGCTCATGCTTTTGTTTGTACCAGGATGAGTTGATGAGCAATGAGCAGCTGTTCTTTGGGTTGTCCCAGGCTCTCCGCAAGTTTCCAAAAGAAACTGGTAAGGGGAAAAGGTAAATTAACAAAGTTGCTAAGTGTTTCTCACTGCTCATAGTTTTGTCGTACTACGATTGTCATCTTTTGCTACTTCCAGATAAGGTCCTCTGTCACTTCTGCTTTAAGCAAAAGAAAGTTGACAATGTCATCCTGACCAACGACAGTTCTCGAAAGAGCCAAATCTTAATATCCAGTGTTATTCTTCTCAAAACTGCCCTAGATGCCTTACCATTACTGTCCAAGGTAAATTAACCTATCTGCATGTATGTTTTATAGTTTTCTGCCTTGATGAGTTTTCTATGTCAATTGTTTCAGGCTCTTAAGGATGCCAACTGCTTCTTACTAAAAAATATTTACAAATCCGTATGTGAGAATGAAAAATTCCCTTCCATGAGGAAAAGGTATAATTGATTGTCATCTTCTGCTTGAAACATGTTATAGTTTATCAGAATCTACATGCTAAATGTCAGTCAATCTTACCGTTCTCATGGAAGCATGCATATTGTTGTGATTCTTTTTTGAGATTGTATTAATCTGTAGTAAGTGCTCTTCAACAAGAAGTGAGAATCTTATTTATTGCTACTCCCAAATTCTCACATCTTACTTGGCCATGCTACTTTCACAAACTTCTATGGCTTGATAAATCAGATTAATCAACAAGACATGCTTCACACTCACAATTTGTTTAGAACAACCATCTTTATCACTAGGGATTATGTCTGCTGCATAAAAAGTTGATTGTGCATGTGTATTTGAATGCCAAAATTTACAAAATGAGCCTAAGCATGTTATTCTCTCTGAGCATTTAATCTCCTCAACTTTCTTTGTTTCGTTTTTTGTGCATTGGCACATTGTTTGTCAAGGAAGATTTTTTGACCAACATGAAGCTAGTACCGACCTGAATATAATAAGATTATGTTTTTAATTTTGGTTTTCTCAAGTTCTTATTTGTCATCTTTATACTTATGCTACCTAAAAACTCGGACACCAATCATGAGACGAAACACTTTAAGCTTAAGCAGTTTATTTGTGCATTATGAAGTGTAAAACTTACTGATTCTATTTATCACTTTGAATTGATATAATCTGGGTTACGATAAGTTATCAGTTCCAGGAAAAGAATCAATAAATTTCGAGGAAGCTCTGATGTGATTGTTGATGGTCTAATGATCTGCCAAAGCCTAACTGGCCATTACTCTTTTACATGAATTGGCAACATTATAAAGTTGACGTCATTGTAATAATTATGTATGAATTGCATTTTTAGGATGTCTGATTCATAATATGAATCGACTAGCTAGTAATTTTATGTCATTAAATCGAAATATAATATATGAAATACAATTTTAGGATTGCGGAAATGATTGATGAAGATGTTCTTCATACACGTGTTCCTTTTGTTGCCCGAACACAACAGTGTTTCGCTGTCAAGGCAGGAATTGATGGACTTTTGGATATTGCGAGGCGGTCCTTTTGCGACACTAGTGAAGGTTTTTCTGCAAATTGAAGGAATTAATTTTATTATTGGTCTTCCAATTACCAGCACTCAAATCAACAATATCTCACAGCAATACACAACTTGGCAAATAAATATCGTGAGGATTTTAAGCTGCCAAATTTGAAAATTCCATACAACAAGAGACAAGGTTTTTACTTTAGCATTCCTCAGAAGGACATACAGGGAAAACTCCCTAGCAAGTTCATCCAGGTTAATGAGAAATTTATTTAGTTTAAAGAACCTCCATTGGTAATTTTCTCTGACATTCCCAATCTGTTAAATTACAGGTTATAAAACATGGAAACAACATACACTGCTCTTCTCTGGAACTGGCCTCTGTGAGTATACTAATAACTTCTTACCATGCTTGTCATAATGTTAGTCCATTGTTACCACCTACATGTCTAAACAAGAAAGTAAATTTAGTCGCTTAAACACTTCTATTATTTTGCATCCTTTCCTGATTATTTCACTTCCCTAACTATATAATTTCCTTTTTTTTTTTTCCTTTTCCCTTCATTAGGCTACCTAGAGCAATTCTCTGATTAATGATATGTACTTCTTGCAGCTGAATGTAAGGAATAAATCTGCAGCTAAAGAGTGTTATATTAGAACAGAATTTTGTCTGGAAGGTTCGTCTCAACTTAACGAGTCTGACAGAATAGCTTATTACTATACTAAATTTGAACCATTAAAAGTATTGCAATAGTAATTAAACCTACTTACGAATGCCGTTTAAAAAATTAGGTTAGATGATATCATAAGATAACTTGCTTTTCGCCTTTTATCTTGAGCAGTACACCACATTCAGTTTGATGTTGGAAAAGTTTCACAGCCCACCCAAATTATGTTCTCTTTTCATACGGTTTGACATGCTTTAGAAAATTTAGTAATAATGTTTACACATTCAATGTGTAGAATAACACGTTTGGTCCATTTGTTAATGTGCAGCTCTAATTGACGCTATACGAGCGGATGTTTCTGTGCTCACTCTTCTGGCGGAGGTCTTATGCCTTCTAGATATGATAGTAAATTCATTTGCTCATACAATATCCACAAAGCCAGTTGACCAGTATACTAGACCTCAATTTTCGTGTAAGTGTACACTGCCTTCTGGATATGATTAGTTAACTCGTTTGCTAATGCAACATCCACTAAGCCAACTGGCAGTTGTAACTGGACTTGTTATCATGCCTGTCTCAGCATTAGTTATTTCCTTAGGCATCGCTAATGATGAATGAATATCATTGTAGATGATGGTCCTTTGGCAATTGACTCAGGAAGGCACCCCATCCTTGAAAGTGTCCACAATGATTTTGTTGTAAGTTTGTGTGCTGATAATAACAATCACTTGATCATTTATTTGGCTTGAGAAACTTTTGATGCTTGTGATATGACACGGCATTCAAAACATTAGTTTCAGATGATGATGGCCCTGTTTGTTTTTCCAGGCCAACAACATTTTTCTTTCTGAAGCATCAAATATGGTAATTGTCACGGGTCCAAACATGTAAGGACATTTAAAATTATCTTGAAATTTTCTTTCATATGTTATGAATTTGTT